ATATATATATATATATATATGTTTATACTGAGGTTAAACATTTGAACACATATAATATTATTGTTATTATAATATTTCACACAATTAGTCATAACATGTTAAATCTTGTATTTTTTTTTTTTTATAACAATTTATTGAAAACGCATTTATATCATGTCAAATATTTGATTAATAATATCTTATAAACATATATGTATGCATAGATAATATATAATATAATATATATATATATATAAACATACATATATAATATTTATTATTGTATATAGGAGAAGGATTATTTTAATTTTATAAATTACTTATATTTCGAAATTTGTTTTCTAATCTATACTCGATGTTATACATTTTTATTATTATTAGTACATAAATTAAGTGTACCTATAAAATTTGCCTTAACTTAATTTTAAGTACCTAATCTAAAAATATTGTTAAATATATAATAATATAATGTATAATAACTACCTACAATCAAATAGCATAAAAAAAAAATCAAAAAAAAAAATCATTGGTGCGTTAAAATATAATAACAAGATTAATATTTATATATTATATATTGGTAATATAATTAGTTATATTTTGAGTAAAATAATGACTTTAAATAATATGAAGGGTTTTACATATATAGTGAGTAACCAACCTGATTGTATACAATTCAAATAGTCCAATAGTATTTTAACATTTCTCTAAGTAAAATAGTTTACTTTTGTTAACAAAATACAAAGTGCATCGTCTCTAGTTAGATTAATAAAATATTATCATTGACATTAGTTTCCGACCTATTTTAAATATTGGATAAAGGAAACTTAAACAATCTAATTTAATTGTTCAATATTATTCAATTCGTATTCTACAATATTATTTATGAATTATATATGTAATGCAATACACTATAAAAAAATTTACTGTGTATTAAACTGATGACTTGAATCGAACGTGATTTTGTTAATAATTATTAGGCCACAACCATACATTCCTGTGAACAAAAAAAAAATACATTCAATTTATAAAAGATCTTTATAACACAATACTACGAGTCGATAAATACCTATGTCATATACCAATACAATTGGTTAATTAATTTAATCTTTAATTTTTACTTGAATATGAATATTAGACCTTTATTGAAAATAACAACTTATTAGTGATAACTGCTATAGATGATGAAGATTTTAACATTTAAGAAGGACCATGTTTTTGTTTTATGTTTAGAAACGCCAGAATGGTAGTAAGTAAAACCGACTACTCTTTTATTCGGTATCATAGACAACTACAATGAGGACAATCAAACGCGATTTGTAACTACTAATTATTTGTGTAATACAAAAAATCCCATGTCTACCCGTGTGTATTGTACGCTTCCACGGCGAAACATGTTGGACGTCGATGAAATAAAATAAACCCGACGATAAAGATTGAGTTCGGTTTAGTCCAACTCTACAAGTGTTATTTTCGTCGTTATACACGCGTTTAATTATTAAAATAATTTAATACTTATTAGTTATGTAAGAAGGTATATCACGCGCATAGTGTAAAAAGCACAAAGTGAAAATTTAATTTTACTGTAGAATCTTCGTTAGGTTATAACAACCTTATTGTTTCTCAAATTTAAATTTATCATGAAAGTTTCACGAACAACACTGTCGTTTGGGCAATCGAATGCGAGAAAAATTCATTTTGTCCCTGAAAACTTTAAAATTTAAACAGTAATTTATTTTTAGATTATATAGATTTTGTGTATAACGTATGATGAATATATACGTATATGTTAATTTGAGTACTCTTTACTCACAATGGATGCATGTTGTACCACAGGTTGATTTCTGGATTGCAGTCGTTATGTTAATACCTCGGAATGCCCGGTGGTGCAGCAACTAATACAAAATAAAAAATAATATTAGCATCCATCGAATCAAACAATTTACGGTTATCGTCAAGGTGGTCGAATAATATGTATTGCAATACTAAACATTTTTTTTTCATGGCAAGTTTCAATAATAAATTATGTTATTTGTGTAAAATAATAAAATATACATATTCCCCCGTGATCGTATATTATAGCAGTGTATCTTTTGCCATAAAGTGATCGAGCGTGTAGGCGGTAAGTGATGCCCAGGGATGGTATAATATTATTTATATTAAGTGTACAAAATATATTATTTGAGTAAAAAAAATATCTCTCAGCCCACGGAGGAAATTCTCAGCTTTACATTTTTAAAAATACCATAAGTATGAATTATAACCAAATATTCAGAGGAAAAAAGTAATAATAAATAGAATTTTTAATTGAATTATACATTTAAGCGTGATAAGAAGATTATACATTATACGGTACAATATCTATAGTTTATTATTACTGAGAGAGAGAGAGAGGGAAGTTTCATTCTTAAAAATAATTAAGAGTAGAAATATGAGATAATATTTCATTGTAAATAACTGAAGGGATGGCATAACCCCGAGTGGCCCATCGTTCTCCACTGTAACCACATAATATGCAGCTATATATATAGTACCACGTTGAACGCAGAGTGATTCTTTAATTTGACAGTAAACGCTATTATTATCTCAAAAAGTATTAATGCTATTTTAAAAATATTTATCTTACATAATATTTTACAGTCACTATAAAACAAAATGTTTGAAAAAAATTTATATTTTTACTATTTTTTATAATATCGTCATTAAGTTTCTTACTTTTTTGAAACGTACATTTTTAATCTTATGTTTAGATGCATGACATCTCGTGTACATAAATTTTTTAAACTTTTTAATGACGATAAAAAAATATTTTTAAACGGCTTGTTGATTAGTTTTAAGTATTTAAATTTTAGAGTTTTAAAGAATGCAGAGTAGAGCGTGGCTCAGTGGTAAATGACAGATGTTGATCCACTTCTGTGATCGAGTCTAATCTTTCAATATACTATTACGAACAACAACTAATGAACTTATTAACATGCTTAAAATTAGATTTTAATACATTTAAATTTTCAAACAAAAAAAACATCCAGGAATATGCAATCGATGTTTACTGTCTATTGAAAAAGTTGATAGCTCAAAAATACGATACCATGTAAAAAACTAGTTAAAATTTTATTTTTATACTTAAGTATGATTTCAGGCTTTAGCAGTGTATAATAATATACCGTTAACTGTAAACAGGTCCAATGTAAATTGTAATAATACAGCGAAACCTCTAAATGCCGAGCACTCTTAGCTTCTAAAATTGTGTCCGTTACTCGGAGGTGTACGCTATTCAGATGTTTCAGATTGTAGGAAGCTTGTAGTCGGTCGGTGAGGTTTTACTATTTTCTGCTGTTATTATCGTATCAATATATCATGGTAGTCCGACCCGGTGTATTATACTTACGAGTAACAAACAAATGTATACAAAAACAATATAAAGGTTTGCACTATTTTCGATGTATGGAATTTTAAATAGCCTCCGGTTTCGGAACATTCTCACAACTGGATAATATAATAATAATATAATATTTTAGTAGTCATTCGGCTCTCCGAGACATCTGTTCCCTGTCCCACTTATCGTATACAACTTACAGCAGCCACATCCCTCATATTTGCCGAGATTCTACTCTGTTGATTTAATCAAATCCTCCTCAATATTGGCATAATTCTCGAGAATACACGTATACAACCTACCTATCAAGGGCTTCGTAAATATTTAACGAGACTTACAAGATACGGTTGGCACGAACGGCTGAAGCAATTGTTGGTAAGCTCCCGTGTTCTGTTGAAACACCGGCATTCCAGACTTGTCGCCTGCGGCTCGTTTGTACTGCATCATTCCCGGAAATGCCTAGAAACCATTAATATTTGTCTTGTATAACAAAATAAAACACTGAATTTCTGCACTTTGAACAGTTACGGGGTGCGGGTACTCGCAGTCAGACCGAATGTAATTCGTCCAAATACGGCGTTTAAGTATAACGGCATATACATTTGACATAATGATTGTTTATAATTCATAGTGACAATTAATAAATTACGGGCTGACTGCTAGAGTTGACGATAATAATATTGAAAAAAACTTCTTTCTTTCATTAATATTATTACCCACAATATGATTTGGTTGACGTTTGGATAAACGAAAAATAGGTTAACACATATTTTATTGAATGTGTAAAAATTTATTTTTATTTTTAGTAAACTAAACTGTTGTCCGTCATTATTCCGCTGATGGTGCATAATATTATTATTATGCCTTTGGGTCCAAAATGTGCGCATACGTTCGGCGAGCAAGGTGGGGCCTAACTTTAAAATATATCCCTTCTTATCACCTCATCACTATAAATCTAAAATCTAATAAACCTGTTTAGACATTTTAGCTCAATAATATGGTTGAATTTAAATAAATATTTTATTATAAAATATTACACAATATAAGACGTGTCTTGGAAAAGATAAAATATAGTATTTCCAGATCTTTTTTTAAATTCTGACTTCTTGTGAAGTAATTAAAACATTATTTTCGTTTTCTAAAAACACTATTAAATTGTATTTTAAAAACTTTTATTTGATGAGTTTATTATTCAAATGCTTTTAGAAAGTGTGTCCTTTTTATTTTCAGTTTATACTTTTACGGCCAGTTGAAAAGGATTAAAATGGCATTCAACCCCTTATTATAGATACAGATTGCTTTAAAATGTAATTTTTCGAGAAGTACCTACAGCAAAACAACTTTACATAAATTAAAAAAAAACAATTGTGTATTTTCCACCCAAAATTATTAATTAAGAATAAATAAATGTAGTATCTAAGAGTTATTAACTAAGAAACGATATAGAAATAATAACGCTGATGTATTTACTGTTATTTATATTATATTTTTTATAGATAATGTAGATTTCTATTTTATTAACTGCTATGGATTATTATTGCACATTTTTTCTAATTTTCTTGAGTGTATCAATAATTTATTTGAAGAAAAAAATTAATTTTTCATACTTTCCCCCGCTCACCGTTTTACCATGCACACGTAAATAATATTTGCATTAATAATTATATTGTGTAAACATTGTTAAGTATGATGATTATTATTTATAAATAGGTAGGTAAAAATTAATGTAAACCATTCTGTAACTCAAATTAACTATATAATAACATATAAACAGAGGTTTTTGTGATCTTAACTCAGCGTGACATAATGACGCACCTCTACTGTACAAAGCTAATTATCAATGTTTAAATTATATTATTAGATTGTAGGTATCAGATTTGTATTAGGATCTGATACACAGTGCAGTCTACATTTTAAGCAAAACAAATATAATCATAATATCATATTAGTATTGTGTATAATTAGGTGGTAAAACAAAACGAGAAAATAAAATATTTAAAACTAAAAGCATGCGTTTTTTTTTAGTATGGCATAGTTTAGTTAACAGCTCAAACCATGACAGAGTATTGTAGTTAAAATTATCCAAATAACTACAGTGTTGTGTACGAACTGTTGTCGTATTCAATTCGGTATATATATAAAATATATTGAAGACGAGACGATCTGCAGTGTTTGAATTGTAAAAAAAAGTAGTTAAATGACTTTTTGTTCCTATAGGTAGGCTACTGATAATTTGTTTTCCAAAAGATTTATCGACTTGTGTGTCATTAAGATAAATTAGAAGGGGTGCGTTGAAATGTTTTTAAAAAGAAGGAGTATTATAGTTCGCTACTTTCCAAATTAAAGCAACGGAGAGAGATAACTTTAAACAAGGGGTGCAATGTACGCGTAAATAACTGCAACTTTTTTGGGTGGGGTGTATGTTATTGCGTTGTTTTGCATCTGTTGAAATTTTTTTTTTTTTGATAGCTTTAACAGTAAGTATTATGTTCAAAGTTTTTACATTGAGTATTATAAAATTATAAAATAACAGTTGGTTCTAGAATTTAATATGCGAGTGGTAAGCTTGTACGTTATGTACATGTGATATTTTACTGTGGCATATTAAAAGTGATGAAATACTCGAACAAAGTGAATGTAAGAAAGCTTTGAACAGAGAAAATTATACACAAGTCTGTTTTGAATCTGCTGATATTTTGTAAGATTGTTTACATAAAAAATCAGGGATTTGTTGTGTGGGTACACAGTCTACAACAATAAATATTTGTTGAAGTTTTTCTTATAAAATAGTAATTAATTATCATTTCTAAACTTTGTTTTCGATTTTTGATGCAAGGGTATTTTAAATTGATAGAAATTCAATTTTTAATTGTAAGTCTCTAGAAACAAGGACTTCTTATTTATTTTTACTTATAATTATTGTATTAATGGTTTGAATAAAAATTACAATAGAATCAACGAATTTAACTACCTACCTAACGATCCTACTTTTAAACCAAAAAATCATATATATTATGACCTATGGTCAGGTTTGAACCTGATAGGTAACATTGGTAAGTTCAAGTACCAGTATGTGCTTAAAATACATAATTTGATTATTTTCACTTAATTATAATTTAACAAGCTCATTCGTACTAGGTAGGTACAAGATAAAAATATTATTTTATATTTTCTAGATAATATTGAAAGAGGTAGGTATACAATTTAAACATTTGAGTAGAAAATGATTTTATAATATGTATTGGTGTTTTCTCTAAATTCTTTTAAATGTATAAATTTATCATGAACGAATGAATGTTTCACAAATAAATCATAATTTATAAAAGTGCAAACAATATTTAGAAGTCAATAGTATCTATAGTTAAATTATTAGATACTGTGGCATAGTAAAGGAGGTAAACTGGTAGCCCTCTCCATCTACGACTCTCAAAAATTATGTTCCATTAATAGATAAAACAATTTTAAATAATAAAGTAATAATTATTGCAAATCATGATTGATTGCACAGTTATTAGTTTTTGTAAATTGTTAAGTAAATACCTACCGATTTAATAATTCCATTTTAAGTTCTCTTTTTTTTTTTTTATTAATTATGGGTATTCTAAAATAAGTTGTACTAAAAACTTAATTATACATGGATAACTACTATATTAGGTAGGTACTCGACTTTGGCCTAGAAAAAATGAACAAACATTACATACGACACTTTGTCTCTGTGTATTTCTGTTAGAGAGTACCTCAGTTCATGGGTAAGTCAGTGGGTACCTATCTATAAATCCGACCGGACTTAGGTCAACTCACCTGCGGTCGATTGAGAACAGCCGCAGGTTTGTGTGTATTTCGGTTTAAGCGCTATAACTTCACTAGCAAATCGGTTTAGGTTTACGGTCGGGAAAAAATGAACAAAAAAATGTAAAAAATACAGTGAGTGAAAAAGATTCAAAAAAGTCACTGTAAAAGACCGGACAGATGGCGCCACGGATTTATTATCGCTCAATTTTCGGGGGACCGGAAGTACCGAATTAAAATTTTTACTTAAAACCTACTTCACAGCGTGCTCAATAAATTCAAATAAATGAAGTGAAACATTAAAATACCAGATTCTCTCGTCACTAGAATTTCGACCGCTATTCGGAGGTGTCCGTTATTCAGAGGGTTTAATTTATAGAAAGTTTATAGAAAGTTCCCAAAAATACGTCCGCTATTTAGAGGTGCTAATTAGGGGAGATTTCCGTCGTTTGAACAACTAGTGAAACTAATTTCAGTTTAGTAAAATACATTTACACAACAATAGTTATGTATATGAGTTGTAATCAAATCTTGAGAGTTACTTCCCCACGTTTAAAATGTATTGCTACGTCATTGGTTAGTTTGAAACAATTGGGATTATTTAGCTGTTTATAAAAAAAAAAACCCTAATGAGGCTGAAACAGCTGAGGTAGCCTTGAGTAAAAATAGAAAAAATAATATATTATAATTTACAAGGGGATTCGGCAAGCTTTCAGTTTCACCCCACTTTTATTCTTTAATAATGCATTTATTAAAATTCTGTTTTTTGGTATTTTTTAAGTGTAGGTACTTAAAGGCCATAAATTTAAATACTTAGATTTTTTCAACATTCAGGGGGTATTCTGAGATGATACAAACTTCTTTTTTTCAAATGTTGTTCACTGAAAATTGTAAATCGGATGATTTTTTTAAGAATGTTGACGTGTCTAAAACGAAATTCAAACGAGTGGCTTCTGTGTTATTATTAAGCTACGTGTACCAAGCTAAATGTACCATTTAGTTTAGTTCTTATTATACCTGGAAAATGTTTACAAACTATAATTATCATAATTTTCAAATCATCATAGTCTCCATTCTGTCTTCTAAACTTATTATCATTGACCATAATATTATTCTAAGAACTTATACTTACAGTTCATGAACTCGGTAACCACTCAATTGTATTTCGATTTATGTTCATATATATTATAAAAAAATCATCTCCTTAACGATTTACAATATAAAAGGCTGACTACTTAAATTGTATGAAAATTTGAAGGATTTGAAAATAATACGATTCTAAAGTACATATTCTTAAAAATTACAAAAATCAGAAATTGAATAAATTCATTAATAAAGATAAAACGGGGTGGGTCGATGGTTGGGAAATCGCAATGAATATTACACATACAAAAATTGTGCTTAAGATCCATAAATAATGAAGTTATGTATTATAGTTTATTAAGTTAATTATTATACAAACGTAGGTTTGGAAATCAACTATGGCCTCAGTAGAACATACATCAAACTTTTACATAAAAACAGACCTTGAGACAAAAATTGCTTTTGAGTAATGAGAATTAATTTCTCTTTAACAGCGCGGCAAACAAATTACCGTAGTCCGTATTAAGCTAAAATAGTTTTGTACGAAAATGAAATGTCTCATTTGATTACTGCAGTAATCAAGACTGTTTTGAAATGTATTTCATGAATTCGTCATCTGAGCACCACGAGTTCTATAAATTGTAACGGTTTTCGGGGTCAAACGTGGAAAATTACGCTTTCCGAAATTTCAAAAATATGAGTCTCTCCTTCACTGGGAACGTCCGGCGGCGAAAGGGTTAATTTATTAAGGTTCAAAATAGCCGTTGTTACTGTGGTTTTTGCACTACATTATTAACACATAAATCAACCCCCCGAGTTAGTAAGCTTCAAGCAGATAAGCAAATGGTAGCAATTAACAAAATAAATAAGGCACGTTAAGCAGCATTTTCATTGTATCGATTTCCAAAATGGCTATGATGATGAAAGCAAACCGAATAAATGGATGAGCCGCGTTTATAAATAATAATATATTTTATTTTATGGACAGTGACAAAAATGGTCGCATGTTCGCATTGAGCTATTATTATCTATTATTAATGTGTGAACAATCATAATGTAACAATAACAATGTGTTAGGTACGTATATAGTATTTTTATTTCCAATAATTAGCTAGGACCGATTATTGCTGCACGGAATGCCTCTTATTATTTCTATAATGCGTTATTAGATATTAATATTATATTTCGTTCTTTTACATGTACAACACATCTTCAGAGCATATTTTATATTATTGGAACGTGAATCTTTGAAATGCTTCATTTCGAAACCAAAAAAATTGCACATTAACAATATCAACAGTATTTACAAGTTATTTACTTACAAAATTCTCGTAATAAAATGTTCCAACGGCTTTCATATCCATCTGAAACACATAACTCGTTGATAAACTATTTGTAAACCTTTACACATTGAGCTGGGAAGTGGGAGGTGATTATAATGTTCAATGGACAAAAAAAATTATTATTATTATTTTCACACTTTTATATTATACAGTAATAATTATTCCCTATACAATAACGTAAGGGATATATAAATTATTTTACTTTCGATAAAATTATGAATAATATAAAAATCGCACGACGCCGCTGAAGTGAGTTGTGTTATATAATATAATACAGTTGGACTTGGTTAACTTATTTTAGTGTACACCTATAAAGTATAAATATTAAATACCAGTACCTTTAAGTAAATACTAAATACCATTTATACTATATAGTTTATTACCTCAATAACCGAGATATGTCATATATATTAGATATATATATATATATATATGGTCACAGTATTATGTGTATTTGGCACACATCGGTGTACAATAAATTAATAAATAACAATATTTAATAAAAAAATCTCGGTATAAGTCTTTAAATTTTGATACGTCGTGTATGCACATAGGACATATACCATTTTCAATATTCAATATTATTAAGTCGATCAATTTTTTTCCTTTCTACATTTTTTTTTGTCGATATTGTTTTCTTGCCATAGTGAGGTTTGACGATCAAATATATTTGTCGAACGAACTACTATAGTATTATATAATATATATTAATAATAAAGTCCCGTTGTTTATAAAGACGTATAATAGATATCGTGCGCTTTTCATTTCTCTTAATTGTAAAAAATGGCTCGCTTTTATTAATTTTATTTAATTATAAAGTATTTCAATTGAAGGAAACAAAAAACAAAAAAAAAAAAAATACTAAATTGTGTAGTTGATTCGTTCGTTAACTATACTTTATTCACGATCATGCGCGTGCGCAGTTATTCGCCGTATTTTAACCTTTTCGTTTTTCAAATAGCTACGGGACACGAAAACTCGTAAATTGTTCGTTCGAATGTATTAATGCAATAAATCAAAAGTGATGTGCCTGGCAAAATACACTTAGCTAATCAACATTTATGAGTTATACATTGGAATATTAAAATTGCTATCTTAGAACGGGCTGCGCTTAATTTATGGCCTTCGGACATGGACGGAAATTCTGTGTAAAGCTTAAGAAAACTTTGGGATCACACGTCGTAACATACTAATACCGTATATTATGTAAGGTCTGAATATTATTATCATACAACGTTAAAATAATAATTTTAGCCGTGTTCGATAATTTAGTAGGCGACAATTATTATTATTACTATTACTACGAATTACTTCGAATATATGATTATTATTTTAGTACCTATACAATAAACGCGATAATTATTTAGTTTACGAACGCAAAACGAAATTGATGGTTCCAACTGTGTTGTGTTGCAGATTCATTATAACTATTGATTGCTGCAGTGTACTGTGCACATATTTATTTATGTATATAAAATTGTTTTAATTGAAATGGCTATAGGCGCGTGTCTGATAAAATCGTTGAATATAATATTTATACATATATATATTATTAGTATTGCTGTTATTTGTATACCTATAACGAACATCGTGGGTAGGCGTATTTAAGTGACATTTCCTAAACGTCATTCAAAATTGTTCGAATGAAATTAATTTCCATTTAGGATACATCATAACATATTATTATTATAACCTCTCTATGTATAATACCAGCTACGGCGAAATGGAAACCCGCGGATCACACGCCTACACGTGGTGGATGAAATATATATTTTATTTGCCATGGGTACATATATTATGGAAATTCGTACGTTTACTCGAAAACCAATCACGGGGAACGTGCGAACACGTCTTAAGGTAAACCGATCGAGCGATGAATTATTGCCACACAACTATTATTGTAATACAACGTAAGCGTTCTCGACTTCTCGGTAAGAAATAGGTACTGTATAGAAAATGTATACTGCACATTGGGTTCACTCTATAACTGGGCGACCGGAAAATCAATGTCTCAGTAAAACATAATTTTAAACCAAAATCAGGCAAGTACCCAGGCAGGCATAGGTATATAAAACAGAAATAAAATCGAATCTTCGAATTTTAGAATAATCGTAGTCAATAATATTATTTATCTTGCACTTTTCTATAGAAAAGTTATTCCCATTCGTGCTCGATGTACAGGAGTTGTCGATTACAGTTACGTCTAGGTGACAGGATATTTCCTCATTATTCTTTCGATTGTTATAAATCTATAATAAAAGAGAAGCGAAATTTAAAAAAAAAAAAATATATATATATATATATACTTATAATATTATTATAACAATCATCCGTAACAGTGTTTCTATATCGTGAAGTGTGTAAGCTCCTGCAGGTTCCTGGCCAATAATATTCCCAGTGGTCGACAGTTCCGAGAATGTATCTGTGCATTTATTTAGTGTTGAGTACGGTTCCCACTTATCAGTATGGCTTATAATAAAATATTTGGTTTTTTTTTTTTTTTGGTTTATTCCACTCATTGAATTATCGGCAGAACGGACGCTGATAAATACGATTTTCGAGAAATAAAAATCTTCATTCCAACTGAAGTAGACGGAATACAATTTGTTTGGTAAAACTTACAAAAAACGTTACAATAACATTATATTATAGTACATAAGACGAGCTTTGAAAGTTCTTAAACTTTTAATTTTAAATCATTTCTAGTCCCATATTCCACGGAAATTATAAGTAGCGTGTATATGACTGTTACTGCGAATTCCGGTGTCCGGTCTACAATTCGATGCGCATGTTGATTGCAATTTTTTCTCCAAACAATAAATCTATCTCTTACAGCTGATAGTTGTCAGTCCATCAATATGCAATGCAATAGTTAAGTAGGTAATTTAAAAAAAAAAAAGAACTCGATAATATTATAATACATTATCCATATTCAATATGATCTCTTGGTTCGCGGTTTGCGCATGCGTTACCTCGAAAATGAAGAATATCACTCTGGTTTAAACTCGCATTCATTTTGATTTATGCAAGTCCGTTCATACGTCATATTATATACGATGTACGTCGTCGTCGTCGTTTTTGTCGTTGTTTGTTCAGGATGGGATCTGATGGCATTTTAATTAAACCCGGGTTAATTGGTCATCTCCTACATTATAATATGTATATGTGTGAGTATAATGTATACATATATATATATATATTGTGCGACCCTCGACGTTGACGGTTCTTCCGCATAATGCGTTATGTATGGTCGTCGGTATTTTTAATTCGCCATTAATATTCTTAACATAAACGTTTTATGTGACGCCAGGCACGTGTTATAAACGATGAAAGGAAGTGCTTCCAAGTGCGCATGTATACATATTTATTTTAACGGTATTTTGCTCTTGGCGCGATAGTTTTGTGATGTGGAACCACACTGAGCGAATATCGTTTGTTACGAGCCCGTTGCATAATAATACTTACGGCTGCGCAATACTTCTGTTCGGCCAACACTGATGAAATCAAATAACCTCGGCGGTCGAGGGTTGATTTTGAACTCGAACGTCGAGCACACATTATAATATTATCGTTGTTATTATTATATACAATCGCTTTGAAAATATATTATTTTCGGTGCGTTTCCCGGCGGCTGCAGCCTGCAGGTGTTATGGACGCCTCCGTGTGTAGTGGGCACGAGAAAAATATAATTATCGAGAGAACAACTGAACAACAACGATTCACAGCTGCGGCCCAGCAGCCCAGATACGAAGGTGTGAACTCACCCGATTAACACGCCATAGTAAAGGAAACATAATGCAATATTATATTTTACAATATTTATGACGTAACGGAGAGATAAATCGGTCGGAAGAGGTTCAGAAATAAGTCAAGGCATCAACGGCGAGAGCTAGGTTTCGAAGGGGTTTTTTTTCGTACACTTTCTTAATAAACCGCCATTAACTTCGATATATTATTCGTATATGTTTTTACAAACCTCAATGACTCACTCAAGTGCACTAAATCTTGTTCTTGTCCTTTACCTGCTCCTTAACGTAGCTGCTTCTTAACCGGCTCCTTAACCCAACCCCCCTCCTGTTTCTTACCGAGATATATTATATTCTTCTTTAAGTTTTAAAAACTTCCCCTCTCCAATTATTATTGATGTAAGCCGATAAATACGTCTTAATGATAGCGTTTCACATTTCGGTTTCCAAATTTACGATTTCATCTTGCGCAATGACACTCGCCACTTATGATTTCTCATATTTTTTTCAGTGTTGGTTTTGAGTTTATAATATAATATTGCTCCGTTTAGTAAACCGATATCTCATCAGTTACTCGGTACCTACCTATAATCTATAGCTTATTGAACACAGTATGATATGTTTCTGTGAACGGATATATATCATATATATTTTATACAAGGTAGGTTGGTATTGTATATTACACAGGTACAAACCAAGACCGAAAACTTATAACACGTGACAAGATTTGACAATGTTACTTTAACCTAGCACGACCATAATGTTGTGGCCACTGAATAATGGATAACCGCGGCCAAATAATAAAATGAAATATAAATATGGAAATTCTGGTGAAAACGTTCATCACTCGATTATCACTGGTTATCAAAAAAAAAAAACTTTTATTATAAGATCCCCATAATATATTGAGTATTTTAGTAAGTACGTGTTTTTATGATTTATGAACAGAAATCTGGTATTGATACGGGCTTGGAACTCCCGAAGTTGGATTAATGATGTCTTAGAATGCAGAAAGTCGAAAGTATGTGTAAATGTGTCATAAATCATATAAAATATGTATTTGTTCTACCGATAAATTATACTTTAGACACCCTTCAAAAGTGTGTTTATTATTATAGCATATTATTATTTTGTCTATTTATTATTATAGCTTAATTATAAGAAACAAAGGGAGATTTGAAATCGAATTCAAATTGATCACAATACTCATTTCGAAACCGACATAACTAACAGCAGTGCAACTTTCTCGGTGTTTATATGTCTGGTTTTTAATAGGAGAAAAATAATTAAAGTCGTTTTTAAAAATAATCCTTCTAGAGATCGGAAAATCCGCGGTCGAAACAGTTCCATAAGCCGACCAAATGGAAAGGAATCGTGTCGAGGAGGCTTTAAAAACAACCCTCCCCACAGATCCAGGTATCTGCGCGTAGAGGTTTTTCGATTAATTACTATTAGTTGTTAGTACTCGGATAGTGGTATGGTGGGAATTGGATTTCTGGTCGGCATAAGAGCGCGGTGATAACAATACAAATATCTATACGTTGCCCGACGTTGGCCCGGGCAACAGATTCAGCCACGGCCGCGCGACCCTCCCTATCTGCAGCAGTGCAGTTCAAACGTTACGGGTGGAAAAAGTTACTAATGCCAAAATAAATTGGTGGGCTATACGCCTATACATCACGTGTATCGAGTCAGCATACCCAGGGTCACGTAAATAAGCCGGACCGGAGTTCATGCCGCCGGAGGGTGTTGCTGTACACGCGGCGTGTGGGTGTAGGTAGGGTTTGGCAGGCGTCTATATATAATAATATATAAAATGTAAGTAGAGCTTTTTATATTGTTGTTGGCTGGCTTCAATTTACAAATTGTTCCGCGGTATTATAATATTATATATTTTACATTTACTCCGAGGGTTTCAAAACACGTGAACTCCATAATATTATGTGAAACGTTAGGTGGGTAGGTGGGTATAGGTGTTAAAGCGATATTACTGCGCGTTGTGATTATTATTAATATATTTTTTTTTTGTTCGGCTCGTTATCGATTAGGTTTATGTGATAAAAAAAGAAACAAGTTTTTGCGTTTGTCGGATATTATTGTCACCTATTATGTGATGCGATTGGGCGTAATATATTTAAAAATATTTTCACGAGTTCATCGGAATGGGTAACTGATGATGGTGTTTTAAAAATAATGCTTTTTGTGACTACATGCGGATAACAGCGATTGAATTAAATATTGATTTTTTTGGAACTTCCTGCAATGTAACGTTATTTACTCATTTAATTGTACGTATAATGTAAAACGTTGATGTTTAGGAACTGCAATCGATTTCATTTCGAAACTACCAAACCAATTTATAATAATTTTTAGTAATTGTTATTTATGACGGTTTATAAATTTATCAAAAGTCGTTGAATTATGTTCAGAAATTATAATAATGTTTGATAAATATATTAAATATATAGAGATTTATAATTAGAAATTGGGAAATACATTTCAGGATCATTGAGTAAATTAAATTTTGGCGAGCAAGCAGTCAACTGAAAATGCATATTAATGACGTTGTACCTGCGAGTCATTTGATGAGAAAAATATCGATTTACTTTTATATACAGAGTGATTTTTATTAGACTACAACTTTTCTCTACTCATCCAATATTGACTTCAACTTTAAAGTAATTGTAATATTAATGAATAAATCGTTCGATATTTTTTGATTAGGTACCTAGTTCATATTAAAATGTTCTCTGTTGAACACCGACAATTGATTAAAATAATTTTTGGTAGGTAGTTATTTGGGGCGACTAGTTCGGAAACAATTTCTCATGAAGTTTGAACAAATAAGCGAAAGGGATTAAGATGGGATTTATATGAATAAATGTACAGAATTGTACGTAGAAAATAGGAGCAATAATTAGTATTCCTACTAAAGTCAAAATAGAACGATAACCTTACGAACCTTACTAGCCTTTCTGTGATAAGATTTATTTAAAAAATAAACACATAGTACATGAAGGTACCCATCTACTCTCCTATATAGGTAAGGCATAATATATTATAAAAAAAATAAACGACTAATTATTGAATTTTAGATGGACTTATCATTTTGACACGATTGCAGGTGCTAATAATATACAACAGAATCGACTAATCGAGACGCATTTTAGATGTTAGTGCAAATATTGTGGTATTAGATTGTTGCAAGGGCCACGGAGTTAAGTTGACATTGTATAAAATCTGTCCGTCCTCGATACCTCTCTCAGATCCTCGTGATACGCAAGTTAAAGTAAAAAGTAATTAGATAAAAGCCACACGACAGTCGCAGTAACAATAGTAGGTATAGTCATAATAATATTACGTATATATAGTAGGTGGCATAACAAAGAAATAAAAAGGTGTGCGATAAATATAAAAACTTTTGTCGCATTAATGGTAATACGATTTTTATCAGATAAGCAATAGTAACATAACTTTGCCAACGGCATCGTACAAATCTACGAGGACGTTAAAACTTTAAAAGTTCAAAAATAATGATAATAATAATAAAAATAATCAAACAAATTAAACAAATTAAAATGTCCATCGGCTGATGCGAGTTTGTAAGTTAGCGATACAAAAAGTTGTTGATGTTCATAATATCAACAATCACGCTGCACGATGAAATCTATTGTGTTAATTATCAATATTTAGGTACCTATGTGTACGTACTATTATAAAAGTAGTATGTAAGTATTAGAAGTACGCATATAATAATATTATTATATTATAAAAGCTTCTATGTATAGATATATCAATATAACAGGTGATAATAACGGTATAACAAGTATGAAGTAATAATAATAATTGAATAGTCTAATAAATATATAATAAAAAAAAAAACAAAATCAACGCCAAGTATTGTGAGAAAACGTATTAGCTAGTAAAAAAATGTAAGAATGGAAAGAAAATTACAAAAATGTTTAACTAAAAGATCAGGTATAATAATGACAATATTATAGTTGATCTCGCGGTCATGCTTTTTTTTTTTTTTTTTGATACTCGGGCGGAAAACCAAAAGTAGTAATAGTACCTAGATAATTAATAAATATATGATACTATAATAATAGGACTAGGTAAGGTGGTGAAAAAAGGTTTTGCGTTTTATATTTTACTAACGTCTAGACGGTCGTTCCTAGGCATTTTCTGTTGTGTAACCATTGTCTGCTGCACGGCCATGGCCAGCGGATTGTTCGGGTCTGACGTGATTATCGTGGTCGGTCCAATCAACGGGCCGGCGGCGCTAAAGTATGGCGTGTAAGTGTTACCGACCTGGGTACTTGCTCCAGGGATTCCGGTCAAATATGCTGTTGGCGTTGCCTGCGAATGACAAAAAACACTACTTTCAAAATATGAATTATTGTAATCATTGTATACGGTAAAAATATATAATATATTTAAACGATTTCATAAGTACATATTATTGTGTTATATAGAAATGTATAAAATATACTAAAATAGTGGCCCTGTGTGGAGTGGTGGTTGTATTCAGTCACGTGACGTGTTCCGAGTGCAAGCATCGGCCGGTGTCCCCGGGTGGGGGACCACGGGTTTTTAGTGACTTGTTCCAAGCCTACCACCCCCCTCCTACAAAAAAGCTAAAGGATTTAATTGCGAGGCTTAAGGTCAATAAAATAAATAAAAAATAATATCACATTTATCCCGTGAGCTCACTATTATTATATTACTATCAGCCGAGTATATTGTGCGCAATATAGGTATACATAATGTATGATATAATAATTATTATAATCGGATTCCCGAGAATCGGATTCAATAATCATTCGACCGCGCACAAGATGGTACAATAAAAAGTAATCTTTAATAGGTATTCTGAATATTTTTATTACATTTTAGAGGATTTTAAAGGATAATTTAGTATTAAAATTATTACTTGCAATGGACAGTCTTTAAAAGTATTGATGGTGTCTTAGTGAGGCCAACGTCATTATTTCAAATATCAATATCATAAATTACAAGATATCTATATATCGCATCAAAAAATATTGACACGATAAATCAATCGAAAACAAAAAGAAAAGTTTTTGTAATTTTGGTGATTAACGTACAGTTTGAATTTGTTTCAATTCAATGTTTTACTAATATATCTTAGTTAGTATCATGATTTTTAGGCAGCCGCCCACTCGGTGTTAGCTGGATTAATTTCGAGTTGATGGTAAATTAAATTTGTTCTCAAATCAAAATTCGTTTATAGCTAGATACCAGCTTTACCTTATGTTCACCGAAAGCATTCATAAATGTTAAAAAAAAAGTTTTTTTTTATTCTGTTGAAAAATGTGCATTACCTATTATACCGGAAAAACGTTTTGTTTGCACGGACTTATAACGATGTATATAGAATAGCTTAAATGGTCTTATCGAAAATTCGCCAAGCTTTCCGGGGATATGGATAATAATGCTATATAGGTAGGTTGATACTTATGATTTGCATCGGAGGGGTAAAAAAACTCGCCCCAGATACCGAGACCGGCGCGATAAAGTCGAAAACAACTTAATATGATATATACCTAAAGTAGGTAAAAAAGCTATATACACACCGAGTCTCGGCGGTAACTTAATTTAAACGATCGAAAAGACGAACTATATAATATAATATAGGTAGCTATTTTTTCTGCCTGCGAACAATGCCGAGAGTAGTATACGCTGCCGGGTTTCACTTCAGAAGGAACTTTTCGAATACCGGTTAAGGAACCCACACACACCCCACCCGCGACACTCACATGCGTGCGAATATTACATTATGCGATCGTGTTTGTTATCGGCCATCGTTCGCCGTACTGCGGTGGAAAATCGATTGGGGCGCGTTTTTTTCGCTTATTTTTTTATACATTTTTTTTTACGGCCACACAATGCCGAATGTGTCGTGATACTTTAAAATATTATATCGTAAATCGTAACAATTTAATCGTATAATAATAATAATAATAATATACATTGCTCCGTCGGCGCCAGCCGACTATTGTAACCTAGTTGCAGCGGCGGGCCTGGTCTGTCCGTGGCCGATTTATTATTTTTGCGAGGCGTTCGCTTTTTTTTTACTATAACATTATTATTATTTCGTTCCTATATATTGAACATTTAGCGACCTGCGGGTCGCACCACAATGACGGGTACATCAAATTATATTCGTGATGTTTTATTAGTATATTTAATCTATATATACATTTATTATTACGAAGCGGTCGAAGTTTTTTGTTTTTTTGGTTTTTTTTTTTTTGCACTTTGACAAATAAACGCTCTCTTTACAATACAATTATTATATTTTCCATCTGATGTGTCGGCGGTAGTTATACAGAATAATAATACCCGACTAAACCAACATTTATTTTTATGTTTCCACTCGGTCATGCAATATATTTTATCAAGGTGAACTCGGCGGGCGCCGCCACTGGCGCCACTGCGACAACCGGACTGTACGGTCTATAAAAATATAATAACAACGCGACGGTATGCCGACTTTAATAATGAAATTGATGTGTGTGTGCGTGTGCACCTCTGTGTGCGAGTGTACACGAGCAGTAGTGTACTGTGCACACATTCCGAGCACCTAAAACCGAAAATAATTAATACCAACTCGGCTGAAATCGAGCGCAGAAAACGCATTGCTTAAAAGGTCGCGCGACGCGCTGGCGCGGACGTATAAATCATCGACCATTGTCTTTCTCTCTCTCGCACACACACACACACACACACACACACACACACACACACACACACACACACACACACACACACACACACACACCCACACTTTCGCATCACATTCCTTCTCCGGTGATTACGAGCCGCATACAATTATTATTATTGTTATTCGCGAGGACGTTTTGTGCAATTATGCGTGAACGGAAATCGCCGGATATGTCTGCCGCGACACGACGCAAAACCATATAAACGACCAGGGTGTTATTACTATTATTGTCATCATCATGGTGCGGCATTCGATTTGCGTGTGAGTCATTAAAAATTGAACGAGAAATAATATGCAACTCTCGTATGGGGAATATCGTATTAAAGCACCTGAAAATGACTCATTGCTCATACAATAGCCGCACAAGTCAAACCGTCGTCACATATAGGCGTCTGTCGCGGACACACACGACCCGCGACATTATTGACAAGGCACGAAGTGTGCGGCGGCTCATTTTGAATATTAATAATTTTTTTTTCAAAATTTGGGTGTCAAACAGCATTAATTCCTTCCCGTTTGGTTTCACATCCGAGCACATAATATGTATTGTCTAACCTGTACAGGGCACCAGAAAAAGGTCCAGACTAGAGTTATAGTTATTTGTTGTAGACTATGTCTGCCCATCTATATACCGTGAATCCGATTTGAATCATCAAAATTAAAATTAATTATTAATAAAAAAATAATACATTTACGTCACGAACTGTGAAATGCTAGTTATCTATTGTTTATGTTTAATGTTTATCTTAGTCCATGACCTACGTATGTATCGATTCGTATAATATTGTAGTTAGGTTTGCTATGATGCGATATGAGCTTTGCAACAAAAGAGGACGTTTGTCTCTCACTGTAAACACCAATGTAGTTTATACGTTTTTTTACCACCTACTGTTGAAGATCGATTTCGAAACCGTGTCATGTACATACATATTTTTATCCCGATTGTATGAGAGAGTTCGAGAGGAATCAACAAACTCAATATTAAAACAGAATAAAATGAAACAATTAAAAAGGATAAAATGCTGACGTCTGATAAGCCAAGTTTTAATATTGTTTACACGTAGGTACAATAATAATATTATTTTAATGCCGACGACGATATTTTAACGTCAATATTATTGTCTCGGGTGACTAGTAAACAAGTTGATGGGTGACACAGCCAACGACGCTTCATCGATGATACGACGTGTCCAGCAAGCTATGCCCACCATGTCGCCCGAGTGTAATGCATTTTGTACTTCTATTATCCTATACATATTTTTGTATCGTCCTGTGAAACGACAACAGCAACAATAATAATAACAACAGCGACGAAAACGACCATCGGAACAATGGATAAACGAAACACTTTCCCGAGCTGCGAATTCAAAGGATAAATTAGCGTAGTACACCATCGAACGATATCATAGAACAAGGACTACGGCGGTAGAGCACCACCGACCTATACCGACCGGGATAGACTCAATACCAAACACCCGTTATTGGCGTGCCGCTGAATGCTATGGCATTTCATTTCACTCGGCCGATCGATAGACGGAAACAAAACAATTCGATAAATTTTTATTTTATAGGGGATGATGGCGCGCGAGTGGGGTGTATAATCCCGCCGCCGCCGCCCCGTTCGACGTCTGTGAAAAATCAAGTAATCAGTGCTCGTCTATGTATTGCGGTCCGCGATAAGGGCGAATCTCACGTCCGGTTTGTTTTATTCGTTGTAAGAGAAAGAAAAAAAAAATAGTAATAATAAAATCGGTATTTCGTTCACGTACGCCGGAGGAGTCTGATTCGGCGGGCGCGAGGAGACCGTTTCCTCGACGAGCGAATTACCCATGTGTGCGTGTGTGTGCGTGTGTGTATGCGTGTGTGTGTGCGTGTGTGTGTGCGTGTGTGTGTTTGTATTCGGCGATCCCTCGTAAGTCGCGTTCATCGAACATTCGTCATATTATTATTATACATGTACACATGCCTCCCGGCGAAACATCACTTGAATTTATTATATTATTATTTATTATTATTATCATCATCATCAGACACCGTATAATAATATATTATGATAATGTATTATGCGATGCACCAGGCAGGTACATAATATACGGAGTGATTTGTCTCGCCATTCACCTCACCCCATTCTCGTGCTCGAATTGTGCGTTATTTATTGTAATTCTGATTTTCGGACATTTTAAGTAGGTGGGTACACCCGAGTATAAAAAGATAAAATAAAGTGGGTAGGTACTAATACTGAAAGTATACTCAAAGACAGGATTTTCAAATACTTAGATTTGTTACGGCATTAAAAGACCGCATAGGTATAAATGTATAATATAACTGCAGAGGCGTTTTTCCAAATGCGTAGACCTCCTTTTTATCTGTGAATTATTAAGCCGTCTTTTTTTATTTTTTTTTAAAAAGTTGATGCACAGACTTGAGAAAATCAAAATCAAAAAGAGTAGTTCTGCTTTATTCAGTTTACTATGATATAACCCATATAATGACTACCTATATTACGTAATATTATGCATAATAGGTACATTTTGTTTCATATAACGACATTTATTATACACTGCTGGACTATAATGAAACAGATTGTAATTCGTATGAGATTGACTTAGAGCTGTGTATTGCTTATTTAACAAAACATTGATATAAAAAAAAACTTAATGCCAATTATTCAATTATACATATATCATAATCAATTTAACACGACCATACACGATATATTCGAGACGCGAGTACCTCTATACGATGACTGGACTGACGAGATATTGAAGAGCGTGTGCATAAGGCAGCTTCTGAGCTTTTGTTACAATATTATTTATTGTTATATTTTTATTACTATTTGTTATCATGGTCAACCAAGACCAGTCGAACATGGGTTATACATAAAACATATTGTTTGGAAAAAATAACAAATACTGATGCAGACTAAAATTTACCGATCAACATTTATTTTATGTTTTATATATTACCCATATACGTAGGTACCAAGCTATTCATTATAATAATATTATATTCAAATATTCAATAAACTACAAACATTAGATCTTAGAATACACGCTTATAGTAGAATAATTCACGAGCTATTCGTTTGAATTCCGATTTCAATGCATCAGAATTTTAAAACAAATCATTTTGTTAAAAAATTCGCAGAAAAAGAGGGAGGTTCTTGTTGTGTTTTTAGCCTGCAGTGGACTAGCCAGGAGGACACAAGTCTTTCTCTCTCATTGGTCGAGGTATCTGCTTTTTTAAGCTGAAGCATAGATTGATCGAATATTTTAATATCAACATAATATGTTGAACATTTTTAGAGTTGAATGTCCTACACGGATGGAAATCAGTAAAATGTTCTCCCTTATGGGTAGTCACTTTTTAAAAACTAAAGGTTATTGGAATAAAAATATGATTTGTCTTTGTTAATATTGTTAAGTCACTTTTATTTAGTTAGGTACTAAAAGGGGCATGTACCTACTTATTTCATTAGCTTTTCAATAAGCTAATATTACTTAAACGGGTATAGTATTACCTGAAACTCAAGAATAAAAAATTATTAGTATCATTGTGCTTACTGTTTTAAAATTCGTAGATCTCCAAAATATGTAATATAATATAGTGTAATGACATATGATAATTCTTACAGATATGAATTTTTTTATGTCGTTCAATAAGAAATAAAATTAATTCATTCTTTTTTTAAGAAAAAAATATATAAAATATAACTTTTTGCAATAATCATTATGAGGATGACATAGCCATTGAACAACAATTCATTGATACAATTATTATTAATTATTTTTTTATTTGATTCCATTTAAAATTATTAAGTGTCACCGTGTTGCCGATAACGCTTCGATACTATTCAATAACTGATACGCACTTTCACGACGTCGTGGGAGTTCAATTAAAAGACAGTTTATTGTTATATTATATGGATGACTGAACTAAACGAAATTGAAAAATGTTGTCACCTCGCGAATAAAGCAAGACGGTCAATATCACCGCCGCTGTCATCCATAACATATTATGAACAAAAAAACACGAAGTGTGTTAAACGTTTTCACGGTTAAAAAGTATCTTAAATGCATGGTAGGTATTAGAAGCTCGCGATTGTCCACGCGGGAGGCGCTAATGCAAAATTTTCGGGACGAATAATAAAAAAAAAAAAAAAATCCATCGATTCGAGTGTGTCTCGTCTTATTTAGGCGAGATATTGGTTTGTATCGTTTCTCGACGACATGACGTCTCATCGGCCGCCCCGTGTCATCGTCGTGGACACTGACAAACTCGCATTAACGTCGATTGACATTACGCCTACTGGCCGGAACTGCAGATGAACTACGGAGACTTCTCGAAAAATGTAATATTGTAATGTTATATTATTTTCCATCTCGCCTTTATTTTTGTATTATTCATAGCGATATATATCGTACTCGGTGTTTCTGTGAATAACGATAAATCGCTAACCCACCATGGCGTCGGTCGCATCTCAATTCCTACCACTATTTATCCGCTGTTCATTTTATCGTTCTCCGAAAAAAAACCAAGACAAATCGAGATCGTTTTCCTCCATTACTAAAATACAAAATTGTAGTGTCAACTTATAAATTTGAATAGGCACCTACCCGTCATTTTCAAGCCAAGAAGAGTAGCGTTCTATATAATATTTTTATATAAATACAAGTAAACATAATGTTATCAAAATATATGAAATAATAATTAAAATTAAAGAACATCGTGATCAAATATCGTAAAATATTAGTTGCTTATAATAATCTAGATCTACAAGTTCAATTAAAAATATAGGTAATACACGAAGTACCGTACAGTTTTTAATTACCATTTAATTAATAATAGCAAGAGTCTATTATGAATGTAAGAATAGAAATTTAATAACTGCATACTTAATAACAATAATAAAAAAAATTGCAAAAACGAATGTATTATGATAGACATTTTTCGAATATAACTACAAAAAATACGAATTGGGCTTGTTAATCGATTGAAACACATAATGTGTTACCTAATAAAAGTATTGTACACGATAAACGGTCGGTCAAGGGTTGTGTGACTTCTCGGGAATGTTTTGCCTTATAAGTACGTGAAATTATGTTTTTATGTTGGCGGGAGCGGCGACGCATTGTCATTTCGAGGCCGAGCGATTGCATCGCATAACTTGTAAAGTCGGAACAGAAAATGTGGAAAATTTGCTCGGGAGAGATGAAATTATTGCCACTGAAACGCTCGAAATAATTATAAATCTACCTGGGACGTGCCGAACGAGCAAAAAATAAAACATTATTGCCGCCGATGCTACCTGCACAACATTATGGCCGTCGGAATCGTAAACTGCACGTACTGAAACCATACGATGGTAATATACGCAGTAGGCATAATAATATGCATTATGCAACCACGGCAGGATAATAATTTATAACGAATGTCATTGATTAATTAAAAATCAAAGCGGGGTTGCCTTTAAACTATTTCCAACGTATAATTATTGTAATACTTCACCCTCGGGATGTACGACAATCTCGACGGAATAAAATAATTCGAAAAAAAAAGCGAACAATAGTATTGAATATTAAACGTCGGGGTGTCACCCAATGCATACTATATACCTGTACCCAACGTCATAAATCTGCGCCCTCAGTCCATTGCTCTACTCAAAGCCTCCGTCAATATTGTTTTTGATAACCATCCGCTGTATGGTAATACTATTTTGCAGAGTCAATGTTGTCACCCACAATATATTATTGTCAACACGGTAGACGGGAAAAAACCAAATTTGTTTATTTTACTAAACACATAAGTTCTGATAACAAAATATTCAAATCAGTGATAATTGTATTTTTCTAAAGTTTCATTAAAATGATTAAAAGGACACGTATAACTTTTTATTGTATGTCACACTATCTTTTTTTATTTACATATTATGTCGACATATTTACTTTATTGGACTAATCAAATTTTTATTTGACTAACCTTTCTATATAAACAATGTGGACTTCAAGGAGAATCTACTTTAAAAATATAATTTTTACTTTCATCGATTGTTTTGGATTATATGTCCCAAGTATTTTGTATTTTCATTAATTTACCTATTATTTATTAACTTCATGATATAAGTAAGAGTATACCAAACCAGAGCATTAGGTCGGTTGGATAATTATTGATCTAAATTCGTAATTAGAAAATTAGAAATATAGAGTCCAATAAAAAATGACCAAATAGAAATGTATAGAAATATTGTTTTCATTGTCATTACATTTTTTCCCTGGGTTTTTCATTTCCTCATTAATTAACAAGCACCCGCTGCTAACTGTTATTTATATTATTGCAAAAATTGCGTTGTATCTATTCCTCGAAAATACCGACCTATTCAATTATTAACGATGAAATTTCGATTTCAATCCAACCGCTAAGACTACAACGAACGCAAATAGGTATATCTCAGGTGCCACACAAATACTTATTATAATAATAATATTACATAGTGCACCGATTCACTAAATATCATCATATTATTTATTGACAGTTAAACCGATTACTGGATATTCGAAAATAAATGTTATTTATTCCGCACGTTTACGTGCACCAATAATAATAATAAAAATAGTTAAATTATTAATGTGTGCTAAACTGCGATTATACGTCGTTATATTATGTACCTGCAGAATCAACGAAGGATTATGTAGATTATGATATTATCGTTAAACCGTTCGTTTTACATAAAAAAAATATTTCTGCTTTCGAAATGTAATTAAATAACGCGCTTGTATATCACGCAGGACATATTATTATAGTCCTGTAGCGTGTGTGTGTGTGTGTGTGTGTGTGTGTGTGTGTGTGTGTGTGTGTGTGTGTGTGTGTGTGTGTGTGTGTGTG